AGGGCGGCGCGCCTCTGACTGCGGCGGCTGCTGGGGGGAGGCCGGGCCGCAATCCCCTCTGTCAGTGGGGCGGCATTCGCAGCCTGAACACTCTTCGCTCTGCTGTTTCGGCCAGTGAATTACCTAGGCTTATTCCTGCCTTTTTTTACTCCTTCTACAGATAGCTGCATGCTGCTGCCTGGCACACAGCTGGTTCGCCGGCCTCTCCACTGTATCCGTGCTTGGGGCCACCTGCCCTCACGCTCCTTCATGAATCTCAGGGAGCTCGTTTCTGCCCTGAATGACTTTGCATCTCTGTCACTGGCTGAAAGCTGGGACAACGTGGGGTTGCTGGTGGAACCAAGTCCTCCCCACACTGTGAACACCCTTTTCCTCACTAATGATCTCACTGAGGAGGTGATGGAAGAGGCAGTGCAGAAGAAGGCAGACCTTATTCTCTCTTACCACCCTCCTATATTCACACCACTCAAGCAAGTAACGTGGAAGACCTGGAAGGAACGGCTGGTGGTCCGAGCCCTGGAGCACAGAATCGGGATTTACTCTCCGCATACGGCGTACGATGCCATACCTCACGGAGTCAACGACTGGCTAACAAAAGGACTCGGTGAGATTCTGTTAAACAAAAAAAAAGGTTAAAATTACTCATCAGTATATGCTATTTTATGTGGGGACCTTCCCTCGTTTTTCTTTCTTCCAGCTTTTACAGGTATGATTTGAGGCCTTTTTTTTTTTTCCCCCAGTATTCTTCCAGTACTTCTAAATACCCTAAACATTTTAGGGAATTTATCTTGGTGAGGTATACCGGATACAAGCACTAGAGGACATCTTCAGACACATGACTGTACTATTGGATGTAGTTGGAACTGGTGCAGCGTATTTATTGCCCATCTTGGGTGCAGATTTTAAATCACCACCTTTAATTTATAAAGTGCAAGATCTCATTGTTTGCAAAGGACTTAGGGTATCTGAAATTCTTTTAGATTTTTATCCTGTATTGTGGCTCATAAATGGAAACAGCTATGTCTTTTCCAGGCTGATTTACAAACCAGAAACTATTTTGGTTTTGTATAATTCTTAGGATAAAATGCATGGCATTAAGAATGACAAATAATCTATATCCATCAGCTCCTTTGCACTTAAAATAAACTGTGCCTACTGGAGACAACAAGGCAAGAAGTCCTCAGTTCTGGTCAGGGAAAATGGATTCAAGTCCAAAATTTGCATCTTTTTGTTGCATCTCTTTGGGATATGTGCTAAATCAGTATTAGGATACTTATCCAACTTTATAAAACGGCAATCTTGTACTGTTTTCTCAGGTGCCTGTACTTCCGTCCCACTGCATCCATCAACTGCGCCAAGCTATCCAGCTGAGGGCACTCACCGGGTAGAATTCTGTGCAGACAACACTGAGCATCTGGACACGGTCCTGTCCAAAATCAAAGACATCCAAGAGATCTCCTGTCTCGCTACTCTCCCTGCCAGGTATCTACTTCACTCTCTAATGTTGTTTGAAACAATAAGTTGCTGGAATTGTATTTTACTGTTGTAATCACTTTGTTCCCCTGTGCATTGCTGCTATTTTTTTCAGCAACAGATCTAGAAACTTAAGGAATAATGATCCATTTCTGATCAATCTATGTTATACTAAATGGTAACAGCAACTCAGCATAGCATCACATAGATTAGAGGTGGTAAAGAAGAGTATTAACAGGAAATTTGATGAGGACAGTTGAGTTAAATTCCCGTATCTGTTTCTTCCACGAGAGTAGACTAGACTGGGCTAGGCTATTAAAATGCTGCCTTTTTTCCTTTTTTTGTGGTAGAATAGCCACTGCGATAGAATAGCTTTGGTTTATGTTAATAATGATGCTGAAATTTTATCTAGTTTCTTAGCAAGCACCAAGCATATCTTTCCTCAGGGTTGAAGGTGAGGAGCAAACACGAGTCAGTTTGAACTGCTCTCAGAAAGCACTGTTGGAGGTGGTGGCATTATTGTCCCAGAACAGCCTTCTTTATCACAAGACCGAGATTCTCTTATTACAAAAGGTAAAAAAATTACGTATTACTTCCAGTGAATGTATTACTTGTGTGAGCTGAGTGCCCTAAACACTGAAATCCAGGAGTCAGTAGCATCACAGGTTTCCTATGCTACCCCATCAGTGCTCTGAAATACTGGCCTGTGGGGATTTGAAGCCATGCACGTTTTCCAAAACAATGAAAATAGCTGTGTGGCCTGTACTAATTCTTAAACCAGTTCCAATAGCTACTGTAGTTAGTATGTTACATTTGAGAACATCACATATGTATTTTTTTCATGAAGTTCAGAGGTATTCCTGAATGCCCAATATACTCATCTTTGTACAGTACGGAAAGCAACGCGAACTTCTGGAGTCTGCTTTCTCACAGTAATTTTAATTTCTTTTCAGCCTCTTCTTCCCCATACTGGAATGGGACGTCTGTGCACACTGAGCGAGCCAGTCTCCTTGTCAGACATAATTGAGCGTATCAAAAGCCACCTAAAATTACCCCACGTCCGCTTAGCCATGGGAATGGGCAAGACACTAGGTAAACAGGCCTGCAAGTAAGACTGTCCATTAGAACTAGAATTCCAGGAAGACAAAGAGTGTGAGTGTGTGCATGAGTGTGTGAAATACTGCTGCCTTGGGTTTACTTCCAAGCAGTACGAAGCACTGTTAAAGACAAGAAACAGCGGTTTAGAATTTACATGATACAATTATGCAAAAAGAATCTCATCTGTATTTTTAATTGGAAGTTCTATATTATGCTGGTTGGCACTGTGAAGAAGGGACAGTACAGGTCGAATACAAGACATCCCTTTTCATAATTTGTATAATGACTAAGATTTTTCCACCCCCAGGATATCAGATGCAAATGTGTACCATTTCATTGTACGCTCCCTTTTGTGACTGAACGTTAAATTTGAAAGCACCTTAAAATAGTAAGACGCTTTATGGTATCCTTATGAACATGTAACCATCCATGTTTTGATGAAAGAGAAATAGTGGCAAAGGTGAAGCATCCTAGCTCAAACAGTGGGTCACTAGCAAAACGTGGAGCAAGTGTCCTCTTATCCCAGTTCCCTATCCTAATCTTCAAGAAGCACAGCTATTAAAATTTGTGAGAGCAAATTTGTTGAGAACTCTCTGTAAATTATGAGACAGAAGTCTTGTTAGAAGCCTTTTATACTATCAATTGCACTAAAAAAACCCAACTATTTTGAAGCCTCTCATTATGGTGTGGGATTGTAGTGATGTGACTCCACTTAAATCAACAGTAATTACATGGCAACATACTGTAAAACCTTAATAGAATTTGAAAACTCCTCTCTGTGTTATGTGTCCCCTCTCCCTAGTGAATGTAATATATATGGAGAATTAAATTTCTTGTCACTACTACATATGTAATAGCTTGAAATCAGCAATCAGCACACGGGCAAATTTTCAGTGGCACGGAGCGGCTCTCAGCTTGCATGGAGATTGGTCTTCTGAGAGCCAGAAGTTAGGAACCAGTATATCTCAGAGGCAAAATGCTGCCTTAGTGGCATCATTAGTTGGAAAACTAATGATGGTGGAACATGAGAGTCCTGGAAAGAGTAGCAGCCTATTAAAGGGTTCAGAAACCTAACTAACTAACACCTCACTAGGAGAGAACTAGCCAGCAGCCAGCCTCCGTGCCGTAGTTTTCTGCAAACTTTCCTACCCCTTGAAGAAAAAAATCTACACATCTATTTGGTACACAGAGGATTTTGCTGTATTATCAGAGATGTGATAGGCCCATGACTCTTTCAAACTGACAGATGTGTCTCTTCCTTCAACAAATTTACATTGACCCTAAAATCAAGGTAGTAGTTACTGTGAAACAATTAGTAGCAATACTAACACGAGGAGTTTAACAGTGGCACCTTGTATCCTGCAGAATCGCCAGTGAAGAAAGCTGCCCTGTGTGCTGGTTCTGGGAGCAGTGTCCTGAAGGGCATGGAAGCTGACCTCTATCTCACAGGTAAAAGATTGTGTTGCTGTTTCATTGTCTTTATAAAAATAGTCACTAGAAAAAAAAAAGGAAAAAAGAAGAGTTGACTGGTTGTTGAAAGATTTGGCCAGAGTTACCTGTTATAATTGAGAAACAATCAGTTATTGGAACGATAGAAGAATAACATTAAAGTAGAGATATTGTGGATCGGATGGCTGTGTGGCACAGTGAAGATTATTTGAATTAAAACATTGCTATACACGCATTATTTCAACACAAAATCAGTGTTGATGGCAGTCTATTGCAACCTTCAGTGTGTTTCTCCTTTGGCAAGATACAAGGTATTTCCTCAGTTCCCTACAGAATTCCCTAATGGAAAATGGAAAACATAGTCTACAGGATCTTCCAAAGGAACCCCATCTGAACAAAGGGACACTTACCCCTTTTCTGACAGTGGGACAGCTACTGCTTATAGCTTGCTCAACAACATGAAGGCTGCCATGCATTCTGTAGTACTTAGTTCGAGCAAGTTCTTTGGCAAGGCATGTCCCATCTCTCCCTTATATCCAGCACTGCAGAGCTGACCCTTGGACAACTTCTTCGCAAGGCTTCCCAATTGCTGTCCTCCATCACAGCAATCCACGTGACATCCAGACAGTCCACTTCCAAACCACTCTGCGCACTCTTATTTCCTGCCCAAAGTGGCAGAATCTACCACTATTCAAAGAGGGCAAGGAATTTCTGTGGTTTTGTCTCAGTTGTGTACAGGGGATATCAGCTGAAAGTCCATCAAGGGACACCAGAGTAGGAGTGTTCCATGTACTTACACTGAGCAGATGGTATTGCATTCCCCCTTATGGGCTATAGCCCCTGTTACGTCTTCCCAGCTTTTAGCTAAGATTCTGCATACATTGCAAAGAACTGGTTACCTAAACTGTACTGTTAGTGATCTACATGGCATTTCTTTCTCAAAATGGCAGGAGAGATGTCCCACCATGACGTTCTGGATGCAGTTGCCAATGGAATAAGTGTTATTCTGTGTGAGCACAGTAACACTGAGCGAGGCTTCTTGTCAGAGCTGCGTGACATGCTAGCTATCCACCTACAGAACAAAATCCACATAATTGTGTCTGAGAAAGACAGAGATCCCCTTCAGGTGGCATAGGGAAAAAAATTAGGAGTGAGAGAATTCAGTCAAGAGTTTCATTTTATCTTGCACAGAGCTATCCAAAGGCAAGCTTAATGAAGATGCTCTGAATTGGTTCCATACAGAATGATTGTACTGTATGTTCCTTCAAAGTTTGAGATATATTTTGTCATCTGTCAGATAAATAAATGCTTGGTTTGGGCTACAGAAAGCTGATTTACTCAATTACTGGTCTGCACTTGAATAAATTTACTGTTACTGCATACTCTTAGATATATTTGATAACCATGATACTTGAGGATTGGTTTGGGTAAAATACAAGAACCTGACTTACCTCCAGTTTTAAGCTTACACAGCAGTTCTGCCCTACTGCAGTTACGTCAAATCATGTAGGTACAAGTCACTGATATTTTAGCTAATAAATCTCCTGATAAGAGTTAATGAAAGGGTGTGCATTAACAGTTTTATTAAGACACCACTTATATGCAAGTACAGAACACAATTCAGGTATTTGATACTAGTATTCAGTTGCATAGTCTACCATTAATGCACACCTTTAAGGCTTTTTAATAGAGGGACTCTCATTTAAAAAAGCTTTGGAAGGTTAAAACTAAACTCCTTAACAAAGCTGTAAATTAATTTGATGTGCCTTTGCTACTTTCTTTTAAAAACAGTTTCTATAACTATGGTTCTTAATTACAGGATTACTAAAACTGAACAAGAAGCTTTTTCACCACTGATAATGCTTGGTTTTTATTTTTTAAGTTAGGGTTTTTGTTGTGTTTTTTTTTTAAAGAAAAAAAATCTCCCAGTTGCATACCTTACCATAGCTGGATTATATGCACACCAGAAGACAAAATATTTCCATTGCAAATTTGTAAAGATTTTGGCACCATTCTTTTAAGTTTAAGTTAATAAAACTGGCTCATCAAGCAATGTCTTTACCGCGTAAGTGCATACGTCTTGTTCCACTTACTTACATTTAAGTGCAAAGAGATGACTCCAGTATTATCTGAAGCTACTGAGGCTATATAAAGGCCATCATTCTTATCAATAGCATGAAGACCTCTCAGTAAGCCAAGGAATAGGAAGTGGGAAGAAATTTCTTCTTTCCAAAGTAAAGGAAAGGACTGTAGAAGTCATCCCTCCAAATCCAACAGTTCTGTGTTGCTGTAGAAGACATTAAAGTGCTACTACCTTAGTACATAACACAGAATTCAGGAGACACAAAATTAATGCATAGATGGGGTAATTGTCCAGAAATAGCATGAAATCAGGATAAAATACTTTTAACACAAATCCCACAGGAATTAATTCACAGTAATTTTCTTTAGCTTGCATCACAGAATTGGCAGCAGCCAAAAACTGATTCAAACTTAACCTTCTCTTAGCAGATGCCTGGTGTCTCCTGCAGCCCTCCTCTTGGCCTGTATGGGCATCTGGTAGTCTACCAAAACCGTTAGCAGATAACTCTGAACTCAGGATGATTATAGCCCTTCATTCAAGTAAATTTCACATCTAGAAAACCTGATGTAATTGCACTGAAAATGCACCACGGTATCACTATCTGTAAACACATTAGGTGGTGTCTTCCATGTGTACTCAGAATATAAATTAAATCTTGAGTTTCATAGGAACTGTGGAGAGAGTCAAAGGACTGCAAAATAGGGTGTGGTTGCTGCTTAGCTACAATACTTTTTAAGTTTTTCCAAGAACACATCTCTTGAAGTGGCAGAGCTCTTGTTCTTGAACTCTATACCTAACTTACAGAACTTGGGTAAGACACAATGCCTTGATCCCAGTTTTAGTGATTCTGACAGTAGCCTAAGTGGCAATAGGCAGGATCTGATGCATTTTGCAAAGTTTTGGAATTGCAGCCTGTAAAACGCAGATGCAGGTGCCACCGAAAGAGAATGTTAGTTGGAAAATGTTCTGGGGGAGGAAGCTGGGGAGTACTGCTAGCATGTACCAGTTTTCCCCATCAGACTCTCCAGCAAAGCTAATTAGGTCCTATATTTGAAGAACCAAATTGTCAGTGGGATAAGTAGATACCGTGTGTTTTCAATACAAACAAAAGTCAGGCTGTAAACCTCTGTCTGTTGCTTCTGTCAGTGAGGGGTAGACCAGGTAACAATATTATTCCGTGTGATGTTTTGGTTCTCTTCAAAAGCTATATATTGGTATTAAAAGGCAGGCAAACTATTTTTAATTTTGATACCTTATAAGAAACAATATAAAATATTTTTACTAGTTAGTTTGAAATCTTCTGCACACTGCATGAGGATTTGCACAGATATTTGACATAATAATGAAAATGAGTCTTTCACACAACTGCCAGAAGGATCTCTATCTTCCTATAACATAAAAAGATTGTGGAAGACAAGACAAGCTAATGAAAATTTAATAAAGTACTTTATTTGATTCATTAGAACTATTACAACATTGAGCTGTAACACAGCTACCAAATATAGCTCAGACATACAGAGTCCTGACTGAAGTCTGGCTGGCAGACTACCCTTGATGGAACTATAGGGCTTACTCCCACATACCTGAGAAAAAAAGTGAAGAACAGCTGTCAAAACTTCAGCAATCTCCCAACCTCTAAGGGCTTAAAAAAAGGGAGAGCTTATAAGTGGCATTTAAGGCCTTCTCCAGGATCAGTGGACGCTCCTGACGTAAAAAATACATATATACAATCAAGCTTTTAAAAAATAAACAAAAAAATTTCACAGCCTCTTCATATTCCTGGATTGCAACTTGGAAAGTAGATGAAAGAAGCTGGATCCTCTCATCCTCACCAACAGGCAATGACTTGAGTCCATCACAATTTTGATTATCTAAATCTTCTTATAAAAGGATTTGGGTTTGGGGCAAGTCCTTCAGTTCTATTGCCAGAATTTAATAAGTTACCCACAGTGTCCCAAACCCACTAGTATTCTCCTTTCCTCATGCAGTCAAGGCAGGTCTCTTAGCATTATAAATCTTGGCTTCTTCATACACTGGAAGCTACTCTTGTCTAACTGGTAAAGGAGTACTGGAAAGCACTCAGTTGAGAAAAGCTGCACCACTAGTACAAACTAAAGCTGTGACCATCTAGTGATTTGCACTTCCCGAGTAAACTGCTCCAATCAAACCCTCATGTCTGGTGAGGTAGAGAGCAGAAGGCACAATCTTACTGAGTTTGTTTTTCTGGCTGTAAGGTTGGCTGCATAGATATGAAGAAGGCATCATCTGAGCTAAGAGACAAAGCAGACAAATCTAACTACAGAGCAAGAGATGCCTTGCTTACCGAAGTCATCATTCCAAACTACCTGGAGTAGTTGAACAACGAGCATCATTCATTACAATTATTACATTTCAGTAAGTAGTCCAGCAGCCTTGGGGTTGGAGGGAGAGAGATCTGAGTATAGGCCTCTCTCCAGCAGCCCTTGAGAGCAATTGCCGTAGATGCTTTGAGAACAGAGAGACGTTATACATCTTCATCCTCTTTCTCTAAGAAGTCGGTCAAGGTACTGTCATCTACAGGAATTAATAAGTATTCCACACCATCAGCTCCCTGAGAACAGACATGCATACACATTCTGTTAACACCAGTGCACAGTGCAGTGTAAGCCACTAGATAGCACTGCAATGCTAACGTTTATCTGCAGTCTGGGTGAGAGCTGGCCAGCATTCAGAAGGACTACATTGCTAAAAACCAGGAATATTTCACTAGAGCAACACTGGAAATGCACAAATACTGAGAAAAGTCAGTATATGAGAAATCTGCTGGTGGGCTATGCTAGTCTGACACTACACAGCTCCTCAACACGGTGTTCCCGTATCTAGTACTGCTATACTGCCTCATTATTAGCACTAGCCTGCATTCTTCCCTCATGCAAATACAGGTAACTATTGGAAGCAGGCTGGCAGGCTCCAGAGTCCGTTACTTCTCAAGGTCTTCAGGAAGAAGAGACCTGTAGGTTGCTGAGTAACCAAAGCACACTACGTTTTTACAGCATCCTACCCATGTAAAGGGTGTTGACATGGCATGGAAAGAGCTGCAATTACAGAATTTCAGCCCTTTGCTAGTTCCTAGGTGCTTCAAACAATACAGCCTCACGGTGAGCTGTAGGCTGGTGTCTTAAGGATACTTAGTAGCAAGTAAGCATCTTTTTTGTTTAAGGTGGCTGAATACCCAGAATTATCTTCTTCCCCCAACTCACCCGCTTGGTCCGGATGAGCTTGTGGTCCCTGAATTCCGTCAGCTGTGCCCTGAGTGTCAGGTCACTGTTCACAAGGAAAGCCTCCCGACACTGCTGGTAGAAGTCTTGGAAAGACAGGCCTGGAGATAGAAAAAGGCGAGAACAAGAAATTGAAGTGGCAAGATTGTAAGGTCTGACAACAGATATTATCTCCACTTACAAATCTTGCATTGGCTTAAACCACAGCAGCTATGGTAACATCATCACTTTTTGCCAGTATACAGCCAAGCTAATATTTCAGTAATTAATGGAAAACAGGTGAATTAATGTTCCAGTCATCCTGTTTGCCTAATGCAATTTTACTAGGACTTTAAATGCACTTCCCAATATGGTTAATCTCTCTTAATTTCCAACTCCTCTATCTTACTTTCAACTTTCTTTACCATTAACATGTTATTCATATCCCCTGCAGCACCTGTTAGACACAGTGACAGAATATTCCACATGTATCCTAGAAAGCCAGGACACATCAGAAGTCACTTAGAGCAGCATGGGAACAGAATCTCCTGTCTTTCTGTGCTGGTTTTAGCTGGGATAAAGTTAATTTTCTTCATAGTAGCTAGTATGAGGCTATGTTTTGGATTTGTGCTGAAAACAGTGTTGATAATACAGGGATATTTTAATTATTGCTGAGCAGTGCTGACACAGAGTCGAGGCCTTTTCTGCTTCTGACCCCACCCCACCAGTGAGCAGGCTGGGGGTGCACAAGAAGTTGGGAGGGGACGCAGCCGGGACAGCTGACCCCAACTGACCAAAGGGATATTCCATACCATATGACATCATGCTTAGCATATAAAGCTGGGGGGAAGGAGGAAGGGGGGGACGTGCGGAGTGATGGTGTTTGTCTTCCCAAGTAACCGTTACGCGTGATGGAGCCCTGCTTTCCTGGAGATGGCTGAACACCTGCCCGCCGATGGGAAGTAGTGAATGAATTCCTTGTTTTGCTTTGCTTGCATG